CTCTTCCCTTCTTTCTCTTCCCTTTCCTCCCTTTCCCTTCCCCTTTATCCAGCACCATCTCCTTTTCCTCATGCCAAAAATTAAGATGTTTGTCTTTTGAGAATCCTCTTCTGTGTTGAAAGGAAATGTTCCCTTGGCCCAGCTTGCTGCCCATTGTTCATATACCCTGTGTTTTAGAACTGAAGTTTTTAAATTCTTACTCCATTTCTACCTGATTTTCCTCGGGATCACATGAAACACAGCAGTGACAAAGGAACTTGACACAAAGAAATTCATCATCAGGGATTTTATAGACTATAGACATTCAGAGGTTTTGGGCTTTTATGCTGTTGTTTGTGTAAAGAGGAATTTGAGCTCGTTTGTAGAAAACTTCACCTGTTACCAAGAGATCCTTGGAAATATTTTATGGGCTTTGTATCACATTAAGATCTGTGGAATAATTCAGTCTTGAGTTACATGCAGGTCGTGATGAGTAAATAATCCTAAATATGTTCTAAGCCTTCCAGTAGGTACAGTGTGTATTTATTAAATGAAAATATCATTGCAAAAATAACTTCAGCTTTCTTGGTTGGAAAATATTTATATTTTTGATGGATAGATTTCCATGTACTCAGGTCTGGGAGGCCTGAGATCTTTGACATCCTGTAGTTATTGGGATGTTCTGGTAGCACCTCCTGATTTTCCACATGGTTGGAAAACTATGGGATGTGAGGCTGTCTTGCTGCTTTTTGGGGTTTTTTTTGTCAGCCAGGTGATTCATTAAAGAGCATGGCAGACCAAGCAGATGCCCAAATTCTGAGCAGACTTTACCCAAAACTGGGCACCACCAGCCATGCCTGGGGTTGTTCTGCAGCCAGGGCTGGCCTGAGGAATTCCAGCAGCTGCTCCTGCTGCATGGGACACTCTGGAGATTTCACTGTCACCCAAAGGCTGCAGTGACCAGGCAGGAATGGGATACCCCATGGAAAGGGGTCCCTGCTGCAGGGCAGCTCCTGCTGCTTCCCCAGCCTTGAGCCTTCCCAAAGCCCACAGATAACTGAAATGCAGTGTTAACATTCTGCTGGGGGTTATTTCAAGTAAAGCTGTTGTGTTTGAAGCCCCCCTCCCCTTTGTTGAGGTGTCTCAAATTGAGTTTGCAGAGCTCAGTGTGTGCAGGACGTGATTTGCTTGCATTCACTGCTGGTGTTGGGCATTCCCTGAATATCCACTTCCAATCAAGGAGATGGATTTTAGATTGCTTTTGACTCAACTTCTAATTTATTGTAAGCAATCAGCACTGAATTGTCCTGCAAACAACTTCCATCTGTGCTTTCACAGAAGACCAGGCACACACATGGAAGGGAATCAGGCAGAATTGGCTTCAGCTTGTGTTGAATAAAGAATTGAGACATTGTAATGCTGAAACAAAGAAAAATAACCAAATGTTTTGAAAGGTTCATGTTTTTTCCCAGAGTAAAATAAGCTTCAAAGTCATGCCTTTGCCGTTCTCCCAAGCTACTATTTGCCCATGAATCAGTTGCCAAAGTAGCTGAAAATACCCACAAATTAGGGTTCTGTCCTTGAAGAAAATGCTGCTTCTCCACAAGATTAAAATTTAAAAATTAAAATCCGACTGAGGCATTTTTCACCTGGAAAATTCAACTGGAACTGAGTTAAGGCAGTAATTCAGCTGACACAAAGAGGAGATTTTTTTTTAAGGGACGTTGTCTAGCAGAGGTTTAATATCAAGTTCTCTGTTCAGTGGTGTGGAAAACAAACAGTGCACAAAGAGCCCTAACGTGATGGGAAGTTACAGTTTCATTCAAGTTTTATTTCTGTTTCCCATGATCCAGGAAAAAACAACACATGCTGTAGACTGAGAGAGAACTGTGGGGGAAAAAAGACTAAAATATTCAGTGAATAGCAAAGAGTAGAACTTGGGCTTGTAAAATGGGAAATTTAGCCTAGAATGTGCAACCTTTAAATGAAATTGCACACAATAACCTGGAGAATGGACTGAATTCAACTTTGTCTTTTACTCTTTTGAATTCCTTAAAAATCTGTCGTGACTTGACTTCCAAGTCCTAGATCAAAACTCCATGAATTCTCTCTAGAAATCAAATAGGGGATGGCCACAGAAAACACATTTCTCTCTTTTTAGGGCTTTGAGACAAATGGTCACAGGGCACTGAGGTTACTGGGGGTTCCAGGCAGGAGATGCCTTCCCAGTAGGAGCTCCCCATGTTGGAGCTCATTTCTCCCAAAAAAGTGACATTACCTCATGTTTTTTTGGGAAAATGCTCCCAGACAACAAGCATGGAGCCCTGATGGGCAATAATTTACTGTCCTACGATGCAACTTTTGAACAAATTTGCATTTTTGGTGGATTTCTTTTCCTTTGGCAAAGAAACCGCTGGACAGCAGGGGAGATGTGTTTGCATTCCTGAATGTTCTGTGTTCCCCCAGAGTGCCTCGGGTGATTTGATGATCAGGAACATCCAGCTGAAGCACAGTGGGAAGTACGTGTGCATGGTGAAGACAGAGGTGGACAGCGTGGCCTCTGCTGCAGACCTCATTGTGCGAGGTGAGGTGACATCCCAGCCCAGCCACAATCACCTTTTCCACCTCATTTTATATTGCAGAAATGGGATTTAACCCTGTAAGTGAGGCAGAAATAAGATGCACAGCTCCATGGTGGTCTTTCATGACAAGAAGAAAGAGCCAAGTTTATTCAGGAACACACTTGGTTTTATAGCAGGACTGCAACTCCCAGAGTAGAGAAAAGGTGATTGGTTCAGAGAGAAGACACCCCATTGCCAGGGCCTGGGCACACACCACAACAGGGCTTCTATCTTGTTATTAATTCCTTTTTATTTTGACCAAATTATCACCCTGGGAGAAATTCTCCCTAGCCTTGAGCTGGACCAGCTCATGGGCTGGGAACAGAGCTGAGAAGCTCCAGCCTGGAATATTTTTCAGGCTGTAATTTTCTTACTTTCTCAATATGTGTCCCACATACAGACTACAGAAACAACTGATCTTGGAGGCTGCAGAACCAATCCATGGCTTGAATGGGGTGATGAATGGCTGTGAGTTGGATTATGTCATAGTGACTTGCAGCTTGGGAGAATTACAGCCCAGGTTTTGGGTGAAGATTTTTCCCAGTGAAATGAGGAGCTGGAGGTTGTAATAGTGACTTCACATCTCTTTTCACTGCCAGTCCTTCAGGTCACTGCCAAGAGGAGCTCGCTGGCAGCTCTGAGGTGGTTGGAGTTGCTGCTTCTGCAGATTGAAGTGTTGAGGACTCCAGAATCCTTCCTGTGAAATGGGCAATTCTGCCAGAGCCCAGGAGAGGCTTCATCTTAGGGTTTAAAGCTTAAAATGCAGGATTATTCCTTTTCATTCTGAGCTGGAATGCTCACAGTTGAACCAGAATTCTGGCTTTCTTTGCTGATGTTACAGCTACATTTATTGCAAGGTAAAAGCTTTGATCTAGAAAAGCACATTACATAATCAGCACTTACTCAATATATTTTAAAATATTTCAGATATTTTCTCATTATTAATGCACAGTGTCATTTCAACTCCATTTGCTGGAGTGAGACAAAACCCCAGCATTTTGGCCAGGAAATTCCCAGAATGAGTATTTTCCAGAAGGCAGCAGGAAGTTTGTCTGACTGAATTGCTGCTTGGGGTGCTCGTCAGATGTGCTGAAAAATTGTTCAGTGCCTTGTAAAGTAAAGAAGTTGTAGGTGAAAAATTTCCAGACTGCAGAGGTGTATCTGTAGGTTAAAGAGGACATTTGGGACTAAAGGAAAAGATATTGGAAAGACAGAGGGATGTGCTGAACAAAGGTTCTTGGTAAAAAAACCAAAACCCAGTCATCTATTCTGCCCTTGAGAGTATTTCAGATAGAAATGATCAGAGTTAAGTTTAGTGAATGTCAAACCTTAATTACAAGTGTTCTTCCTTCAGTCTGAGTTGTTTTCCTCCTCCCTGAGGAATTTAAAGACGGGAACCCATCCTGCTGGAAGTGATTCCCGGGCTGCTTCAGGGCTTCTCCAAACACTCTGCCTGCTTTCCCGTGCCATTGCAGGCTCTCCTGGGCCCCCTGAGCACGTGAAGGTGGACGAGATCACGGACACCACTGCCCAGATCTCCTGGCAGGAGGGCACAGACAACCACAGCCCCGTGACCACCTACACCATCCAGGCCAGGACTCCCTTCTCCGTGGGCTGGCAGCGAGCCACCACAGGTGAGCACAAGCCCCAGGGCTGAGGGAGTGGCTCTGGCACCGGGTTCCTGAGCTGGCTTTTCCCTTTCTCTTTCCTAGTTCCCGATGTGATCGATGGGAAAACCTTCACCAGCACAGTAGTGGATTTAAATCCTTGGGTTGAATATGAATTTCGTGTAGTTGCCAGTAACAAAATAGGAGGTGGAGAGCCTAGTTTGCCCTCAGAAAAAGTAAGAACTGAAGAGGCAGGTTAGTGGGTTCTTCTATTTGTTTTTATTTCAAGAATCTGGAATATTGACAAAGAAAAGGAGTGTTTATGTCTTTGGCTCTTTGCAAACAAGCTTGGAATTGCCATTTGATATAAAAGCCTGTAACAAGTTCGTTTGTATCTTGTCATTGAGCTGTGGGACAGTTTGTGTTGCATTACTGAACATCACAGAAGCATAACATCTAAATCCATTTAAACTGCATTTACTGTGCCAAAATCTGCCAGTCCAGGCAGTGCTGCAGAGTCTGAAGGTATTAATGGATGGAAAGAGGTTAATTTTGACAGGGATTTTGATTCCTGGTGTTTGATCAGTGAAACCCTTCCGTGTAACAAGCATTGTGGCTCAGAAGAACCCATCAATTATAACCCCAGTTCACTTGGAATTGGGCCATTTCCCAGTTTATCTGCATAACATCCCTTGAAGTGTTCAAGGACGTGGAATTCTGAGCAGCATGCTTTACTGGAAGGTGTCCTGGAACAAGATGATCTTTGGGGTCTCTTCCTACCCAGGCCATTCTCTGAGTTAACTCGAGAAAAATTAAGCCTGTCTCCAGTTTTTCCAAGTTTCTAAACACAGCAGAGGTGAAAGCTGTGAGCTGCTGAGCTTCTCCAAGTGCTCAGAGGAAGCCCAGCCTGGCCCAGGGAAGGATAAATGTGGGTCAGGGCTGGGGCTTTTGCCCCTGCTACCCCAAAACTATTTACCCTGATTGCAAAAGGAGTGTGAATATGGGTTAAACTCAGAGCGTGGGGGTGATGTGGTGTTTTCTCTTGTCTCTGCTCTGTGCAGACATCTCTGCATTTCCTTTCCACAGTTCCTGAAATTCCCCCATCTGAGGTCAGTGGGGGAGGAGGCAGCAGATCTGAACTGGTCATAACGTGGGATGTAAGTTTGCTGGGGAGAAGTTTTCTTCACAGAACTTCTTTTCTTTCTTCTCTTTCTGCTCTCTCTGAATCTCCCTGGCTGCAGCAGCTTCTCCTCTGGGATGTGCACATGCCACGTGTGATGTGAGCCCTGCACACTGGCCTTGGTTCTTGCACTCCCTGTGCTGGATGGAAATCCCCAGGGAATTCAGTTTGGCTGGGATTGTTTCTGTTCTCAAACAAATGTTAAGGCTAAAAAGGAGGCAGGAGGGCAGGGCAAGAGGGAAGGGGGATGGTTTGGCCAAAGATTTTGGGCTTTGCAGTGCAGATCTGCAGTTCTTGCTTTCCCACCATTAAATCTGGATGCACGTGCTAACCAATACAGAGTTTATATTATGTATCTCTTTTTTAATGATTTAAAGAACTGTTAATATTCTGTTCCTAGCATTGACTACTCTGTGTGGTTATCTAATCATAATCACATCAGAAGAAGGTTTAAGCCAGTGTATGAAGGTGGTATTGGATTCTCTAATAGCTGACCAAGCAATTATTCATTTTTTATGAACTGTGGATTGATGAAAGAAAAGTTTTTCAGTATTTACTGAAGAGTGCCTTGAAGCACTCTTGGTGCTTCAAATACAAAATACTTGGTGAAAACCAGAGGTTACATCTGAAAGTTGTTCTCTTCTTGAAATGCAAACCTTAAAATAGGTTGAAGGGAGCACATTTTGCTGTGCTGGAGCCTGGAGAGGCTCCCTGGAACAGAGGCAGAGTTAAAGGAATAAAGCAGGGATTTATTAAAAACCCTTCAAAGGATTCACCGTGGGCAGTACAAGAGCCTGGCCATGGCTACACCCAAGATGGACCCTGGGTCAGGAGTTTTCACACTTTTATCAGTTTGGGTCCATTTCCATCTTGGGTTCATTGTCCAATCCCAGCTCCAGGTTCTGCAGTCCCATCCTCCCAGATTCTCTCCTCCATTCGCTGCTGTTTGCACTTTTTGGGGCTGGAGCTGCAGCTGTCCTTGGTTGTGGGGCTGGAAAAGGATTGTTCTGTGTGCCTGAGCTGGGAGGAGAACTGGGAACACTTTGTATGAAGTGCAGTCACACACTAACGCAGCACAGAATCTGAAAAGCTAAAGCTTAAGGCATCAGTGCCAGAGTTAATTGGCTGAGGGTTTGATGCCAAGTGCAGTGGCAGCACCTGCATCAATCCCCGAGTTCCCCAGTGGCCTCACAGCTTGCTGTGTGTGTGCTGTTGTGTCCCAGCCCGTCCCCGAGGAGCTGCAGAACGGGGAAGGCTTTGGCTACGTGGTTGCCTTCCGCCCCTCGGGCACCACCACCTGGATCCAGACCGTGGTGACCTCTCCTGACACCCCCAGATACGTGTTCAGGAACGAGAGCATCCTGCCCTTCTCCCCCTACGAGGTCAAAGTCGGGGTGTACAACAACAAAGGAGAGGGGCCCTTCAGCGCCGTGGCCACCGTGTTCTCAGCAGAGGAAGGTACAGCCTTGAGCCACCCCAAACCCTTCCAGTGCTGAATATTTTCAAAGAAAGGCCTTATAAAGTATGGTTTAGCTCCTTATAAAGTATGGTTTAAGCCCTTAAAAAATATGGTTTGGGCCCTTATAAAATATGGTTTATGTCACTGTAAGCTAGGGAGTGGTGAAAAGATACAGCAGCACAGAATTCTTCCAGAAAGCAGAAGAAGTGATTTATTGCAGGAGCAGGCACATTTTTATAGACTGGTTTGCAGAACCAAAGGGTACAATAAGCTTGTTGGTGCAAGGAAGGCAACACCTCATGTAAACGTGCTCTCATCGTGTTCCTCACACACTCCTCCTGTCCACAACACCAGGTGCTAAACCTGGTTATTAATTCTTTCTGTTCTGTTGTCCTCTGAGTAGCTTGGCAAAACCAGACTGCTGTTTTCCCTGACTTTTACTAGCATCCACAGGTTTAGGCCCTGCTGCTTTAGCTAAGCTGGCAGCTAGCTTATAAATGCCCCTGTGAAAAAAACCAGAGGAGTGAGAATCAGTTTGCATAGAAATCTGTTCCCATAGAGGAAAGAAGGTTGCACCTGTAATGACAAAAGATCTGTCCCATGAGAATCTATGAAGAAAATATAGAAACTAACCAGAAATAAAGGGATTTGATGGACATACACACAGGCCATTTACCAACAAGTAAACCGAATTTCAGTGTATTGTTAGCCAGTTAGATTTGACATGGTGCCTTCTGATATTTCCTATAAATATGAGCTTTGTGAATAGAGAATTGGCTTTTCTACATGAAGAAACCGAGTCCCACCTGTTTGTATTGCAACATTTCCATGAGCTGTTCCAGCTCAGGGAGGTGAGGTGGGTTGGGATAAGGACAGGTTTGATCCCACAGTCACCTCTCCCTGCTTGATTTCCCAACACAGAGCCCAGCACAGCCCCCTCAGGAGTGTCTGCCACCAGCCTGTCCTCCTCAGCCATCCAGGTGTCCTGGACAGCCATTCCCTGGAAGATGAGCAATGGAAGGCTGCTGGGCTATGAGGTGAGTCTGTGGAAATTAAAATACTTCAGTCAATCCTATTTGTTAAATAAAATCCACTTCTCTTTGTGAAGGGCTGTGGGCCAGAGGGTCCTGCAGCACAACCACACACATTCACCCCAAATCTTGCTCTTCCTGCCCCACCTGCAGCCAGAAGGAGGATAATTTTTACTATATTTCTTAAAAAAAAAAACCCACAGAATGAAACTGTGTTTTGCTTCTTGTGCTTATAGATAGTCATGTATCAAACATAACTCCAAACTAACTTTTTTCCAGAATTACATTTGCTTTCAAAGAAACTTCTTTATAAGGTACATTTTTCTGAGCTTAACTTGTTTCCTTTTTAATGAAGTAATGTTTTTCCTCTTGTCATTGTTTAGTTCAAGCAAGATCTAATATTTCAATTGCCTTTTTCCTGCAGTCACACTGAAAAGAGCAGCAAGTGTGAGAAGCAGATGGATAAGAATATTTTATTTTTGCCCAGTAAACATATTTCTGAAACTTTAATGCATTTCTGCCTTTTCCAGCTGAAGGAAAAAAAGAATGCACTTAAAAGAGTCGAGTACAGTGCTGTGGATGAGCAGCCCATTCCACACAAGACTTAAATGGTTTTGGTTTTTATCTCCTAGGTTAGGTACTGGAACAATGGCCAAAAAGAAGAATCTTCAAACAGAATAAAAGCAGCAGGGAATGAAACATCAATAAAAATTACGGGGTTGAGGAGCAACTTGGCTTATTACACAGCAGTCCGTGCCTACAACAGTGCTGGAGCAGGGCCCTTCAGTGCCACCGTCAATGCCACCACCAAAAAGCCACGTGAGTATGTCAGTGTGAAGTGGGGAGAGGCACAAATGGTGTGGCAGCACTTGGAGGGGGAGGACGAGCAGTGGCATTCCTGGGAATCACAATATGAGTGACCCAAATTTCCCTGCAGTCGAGCCCAGAGCTTCAGCAGGGTGAGTAAAACCCAACCATTCCTGGGCAGCCCAAGGAAGAGCTGTAATTCCTGCACAGAACCTTTATTATGCTGCTAATGACTGGGAGAAATTGAAAAGAAGAATGTCTGTTATTTAGAAGGTGGGGAAAAAAAAAAAAAAAGACTTGTTGAATTTTTCAGTGTTCTATAACGTATTTATAAGTTCTCTGGGGCATGGCTTTTGAAATGCAATGAACCTCGTGGAGTTCATGCAAAACAATCCTTCATGTCCACTGTTTCCCCTTGAACAAATTGCACAGGAGGCCACTCTGCTGCTGCAAAGGCAAAATGAAGCTGGAGAACAGATTGTCAAAGGCTGCACTAATTTTTCTACGAGCGGAAATATTTTTAGTGTGCTCTTCCATTGTAATACAGCTCAGAATCAGGGTCATCAGTCTTGAAGTGTTTCTGTCAGAGGCACAAGAACACACAATTAAATGTGTCTGAAGGGTCAAATTCCCTGCAATAATCATTAACATCCCCCGAGCAGACGGAGTTGTAGCATTAATATTGTGAAATAAGCCAGTTTATCAGAAATTATGATATGCAAAAATGAGTGTCAGTCTGTCAGTGAGGACTAAACCAACTCAGATTTGCCAGAGTTTAAATATGTTATAGGCACAATTACCATGAACTGGCTGAAGTGACTGACTGCCTGCAGCCTGGACAGGACATGGGAAAAGGAATTTTTTTCTAATTAATCATCTTTGTGGCTGCTCACTGGAGGTGGTGCCAGGCTGATCAGCTCAGGGGTTTTCAGTCCCTTTTTTAGTGTGCCCCCCACTTTTGAGGGGTGTGAGTGAGAGCTGGACAAGCCCCTGATCTCACTGGTGTGAGCAGGATCTGGATCAGGCCCTTGCTATTTGGAATAATTAAAAAGGAAAATTAATTGCATTATGTCCATGGATCTTTCTGGTGAATAAGGAGAGCAAACCCATGTAATGTCAGTCTGAAGATTTTGATAAATTAGTTGAATTGCTAAGAGAAATAATTCTCCATGCTACTGAAGTAGAAACTGATTTTTCATTCGAATGTGTGATTTTTAATCAATCCCGATTTGTAATTTAATTTGAATATTTGTGATTGATGTGGTTCTCACTGTGAAGGATTTGCATCCCCCCACAAGACCTGCCAGGTACATCTCAGAAACTCGTGCCATATCAAGAAATAAAAATAGTTCAGTTCTGTTGGCAGTGTATTTCAAAACTGAAATTGAGCCCTTGACAATTAAAATATCTTTGCTTTTAAATTTGAAACATGCATATTTACAGCCCAGAATAACAAGTGGAGCTTTAAATATTGCTATGTAAAATGCCAAGTGAGCGGGGAAGACTTGCCTAAGTTGTTACAATTATTTCCTATTTAGAAAGTCTTAAAATCAAACCCCAGTGTTCTGTCCATCAGCTCCTAATTCTGAGCAATGCTCCTGCCTGAGAGCAGCTTTGAGCAGCTCGGGAATCCCTGCAGCTCCCTGGACATGTCCTGGCGTGGCTTGATGGATCAGAACCTGCCACAAATGAAGTTCTGAACACTGATGATTGCTGGAGATTTTGGTGTCTGCAGCAAATGGAGTTCTGAATCCCACAGACAGAGGCTTCCAGTTCTTATAGATAATTACTCTTCATTTTTTTTCCACATGTCATCTTAATATTTTGTTGTGGATTTCAAGGATGACTCATTTCCTTTGAAATTCAGCTGTAATATCTCAGTGTGAAAACGATTCATACATGCTGTAACACTTCATTCTCAGGAGTGAAACAATCTCCTCTTACATTTACAAGAAGTGGTTATTATTAGAACATCAGGTTAAGTCTTCCTCAGCACATAGAACAAGACAAATAGTGGAAAAAAAATAGCTGTAGGTGGTTGGTTGACTTTGGAATGATTTTTTTTTTTCTTTTTTTTGAGTATAATCAGGTGAGTTTTGATCTGACTGCTTATGGAAAGAAGGCAGGGAAGTTCCTGTGTGAAATAATTGAAAAGAGGAGGGGAAAAAAAGAGGAAAAGAGCCATAAGCACATGGATACAAGTGTTCCATCCACTCTCAGTGCTTAAAGCTGGAAGCTCCAGTCTCAAAGCACAGCTCAGTCCACCTAAGCAGCAGTTGCCTCCACTAGGTGACAGCAACAGTAAATTGTTCTCCTTAACACATTTAGGAAAGATTTTAATCATTGATTTGTGTCACTGCAGGACCCATTTTCTGGGAAACCAACCCGAGGTGTTTGAAGAGGTTTGTACTTCCCTGAAAGCTCCAAGGTACACCAAGGGGCAGAGCCCAAGGCATGCAGCTGCTCTGGAAATAACAGCCTTGGGTTGCTAATGAGCAGAAAATCCCAGCAGATTGCCTTGGCCAAAGCCCACTTTTGGCACAGGCTCAGTTCAGAGCCACAACTCGAGTTGGAAGAACCAACAGACAAAAAAAAAAAAAATTCAAATATTTTATGAAACATCTTAAAGCAAATCAACATAATGGGTAAATTTGAATATTCACTGAGACTAAATTTGTCTAACAATCTACTGTGAAGAATTTTCTTGTTCTTGGCACTGTACTAAAACTAGAAATTGTCTGTTACCATCATTAGAGTTTGTTTTAATTAATCACCCGTGTCCTAAGGCACATGCTTCTGTCTGGCTGTATTGAATGAAGGACCAGCAACAGATATTTCAACTTCAGGAACAACATTTAGGTGCCATTCTGGCTTTTTCCTTCCTTCTGTTTTTCGAATTTAGCCTCTGAACCATAACGAGCACAGAGAGCAGCCTGCACTGGAGCTGCTTTTGCATCCCAAATGTAATGACAGCCAATTACCTGAGCTGGTGGATCAATCACCAGTGCCAATTAAATTAAAGCCGTGCTTTTGTTGTGTGTTTGAAGCACCCAGCCAACCTCCAGGAAACGTGGTGTGGAATGTCACAGACTCCAGAGTCATCCTGAGCTGGGAGGAGGTCAGAGCCATGGACAACGAGTCCGAGGTCACAGGGTACAAGGTCAGTGGGGACAGAGCTGGGAGCAGCCCAGAGCTGGTATTTCCTGGCTGTTTGCATGTTCAGAGGATGGACAGTACCACCCCTCGACCATTTCACTGGGGTCTCCTTTTTAGGGGCTTTAAATCACATTCTAACAGTGTCTCACCATGAATGTCCCCTAATCCCTTTCCCTCCCCGTTGCTCAGCTCTTGGGATCCCACCCACACCTGCATCTTAGAACATTTAAACACTTACCCCATCCATAACACCTCTTTTCAATGTGTAACACTTACCCAAATTGATAAAACTTTGAAAGAAACCAGGAAGATTTAGCTTGATGGATGTAGCTTCCATTGCTGGCCAGGTATATTTATTATGTTTATTATATATTACCACATATATTAAACGGATATTTTTAAACCCTTTCTCCTCTTACCTTATTTATTATATATTATCACATATATTAAACTTTCACCTCTTACTTGCTGTGGGCCACGCTCATTTCCCTGGTAGAAATTACACTATTGCATCTGCTCTAAATGCCATCAGCACACAAATGTAGAAGTGTTTAAATATGTCATATGTGTGTAAAAGAATAGCTGAGGATGCTCCTGATAAGTTCTGTACAGCTGGATCCCACATGATAAATTCCTGAATTAAAGATTTAGGCTGAAGATCTGATTACCCACCGAGCTGTACTGGCAAGAACAACATGTTTACAGCTTGTTCCAGCGTCCCACCACCCATTTTTTCATATTATTGCAATAAAAAACAACATGTATTATCATCCATTGCGCCAATTTAAATTAAATCTGGAATAAAAGTCTCTGCTTGATGTTCCCTTCTTCTTTTAAATGTAACTGGAGTATTAACCAAAAAACCAGCTGTGGCTTTGCTGCCAGCCCTTTGGGAAGGTGCAGCCTTGCAGGGAGGGTGCTGAGGCTGTGCTGTGTTGCAGGTTCTGTACAGGACCAGCAGCCAGAGCAGGGTGGAGGTGCTGAGCACGGCCAGCACCACGGCCGAGCTGTGGCTGCGCCTGCAGGACGATTATTTCATCGAGGTCAGAGCCACCACGGAGGGGGGAGATGGCAGCAGCAGCCAGCAGATCCTCATCCCCAGGCTCGCCAGTAAGTCCAGCCACTTCTCCTCCTTCCCAGCTTGTCTGTGCTTCCTTTGTTGATGGGGGAAAAAAAAAAAAAAAAACCACTAAAATTAATGCTTAGATGTTGTATGGTGATAAGGTAATAAAAGCAAAGCAGTTAAATTCTTCGTGCCTTTATGCATGGCAAACTCCATTCTGCTGAACTGGTAAATTGCCATGTAAATTGGTATTAAAAATGTTAAGTTTATTAGTTTTTCTCCTTTTTTTTTTACCTTTTTCTCCTTTTTTTTTTTTTTTTTAAAAAAAGACTATTACCTTGAAAGTAGACTCACAGAGTCATGGAGTTTGGAAAAGACCTCCAAGATCTTTGAGTCCAACCTTTGACCAAACACCACCTCGTCAGCTAAACCAGAGCACTAAAACCATTCATGATCACAGCATTTTGCAAGATATCTCTGTAATTTTTAAATATTTACTGTATTTTTGTAGAGATCTAGTGCTTGCAAGAAAAAAAAAAATGACAGTAATTTGTGCTTAGCATCTAGGAAGAGTAATAATGTGGCACAGCACCTACTTATGCTTTCATTTAATCCTCAATTTATTTTTTTCCTTTGTCATAGGTATGGATGCAAGAGGTTCTGGTCCATCAGTCTTGAGTATCTCCAGTGTCTCCAGCTTCTTAGCAACAATATTTTCCTTGACCCTTAATTCCATGTTGTGCTGATACATTTGCATTTGCTGGGGGAAAAAAAATTGGTTACTAAAGTGCTTTTTTTAAAAAAAAACTGCAGTGGTTAAAGCATGTTTTTTCTTCTATCCTGACGTGTTTTTAAATTCTTTATATTTCACTGTAAGTTGAAGTAAAAATACCATGTAAAGTTTAGCAAATCCTTTAAGAAGGAATCTAAAATGCCTTAATACTTGAACCAAAGGAGTTTACATGTTACATACTTCAGATGCAGTGTAAGAGAGGGGGAGGGATGGCACTGTGAGGTCAGGGCTGCAAGGGAGAGTGAGAAACTCCATTTCTGCAGCAACCCCGAGTTGTTCTGGGTCTGTTCTACACTGTTAAAATAACATTTGGCTTGGAAAAGATGAAATCAGAGGTGTGGCTGTTACCAGTGGGAGGGTAACACAACCAGCACGTGGTGCAGTGCCAGCACCCAGGAGTTGGGATCATTTTCCCGTGGGAGTTGCTCTAAATGGAAAGAAATCCCCAAAGAAATCCCATCTGGAGCAGGGCAGAGGCAGAGCCTCCACTGCTGCTCCTGAGAAATGATGCCAGCTGTGTTTTGAGGATGTTTGTGCACCTTCTCATCCACCCACCCTTCACCAGTAAATTCTGAACTTCATTTCCTCATCTGCCCACCTTACCTTTCCTAACCAGGCTCTTTGTTCACAGCCAAGCTCCCCCACCCTGAGGAGGATGTGATTGCCCTCCTGGCAGTGTTTCAGGAGCTGAAGTGCCCAGCTGGCAGCACTGGTGACATGCAGGGGCACCATGGCCTTAGGAAGAGGGACAGCCACCCTCTCCATCCCTTGTGACGTGATGCTCCCAGACCTGCAGCCCCAAATTCTCTTGCTCATTTCTCTGGCACACTGCAAACACCCTGAATTCAGACTTTCAGTCAGATCTCTCCTTCCTGCTGCTCTGTAACCAGTTCTGAACTGTTCCACCTGCTCTGGCTCTCAGCTGCACCCCACTGCTGTCACATGAGTCTGGGAAGTTCATGGCAATATTGGGATATTAAAAAAAAAAAGGTACAACAACTCTTCAGACTTGCTGTTGTAGAGAAATCTGTGCTTGCTTTCATATCAGTAAATTAAAGATACATTAAGCCTGGTCCATTTGACTTGTAGAGTTGTGGCTTCAGTCAAATCAGCCTTTTAGACTCTAAACTTTTAGAGAGGTCACAGCATCCCTGTTCACATGCCATAAAGCATCTCCTCTTAAAGATTGGTGTTTTTTCATTTCACAATACTATTGCAACACACAGAACTACAAAGGGAGAACCGGGATTAATAAAATGATGGTGGCACTGTAGAAAAAAGACCTTGATATACATTCAGCTGGCAGGTGAGCTGATGAGCTCCAGATGAGACAAAGTGCTGCTGAGGAAAGCAAGAGCTGTATATACTGTACATAGAGAGCTATAAATGAGTTAAAAATTAGTTGTTTTTTCCATGTGGCTGACCAGTGTTGTTTTCAGACACTTGCAAACAGGGGGGTGGGTGGGACATGGAAATCCAGGTGTTCCTAGTGAGTAAATAGTTCTATTTCATGCAACAAAGGGTGACTCTTGTTTCACAAAATTCTAGTCCAGGTTCCTGTACTGCCCATTTTTCACGTGCTTACATTGTATTCTTACTTGATTTCTAGTTCTATATCTCCATGAGATATGTACCCAGTACCTTGTTTCATATTGAAAAGGTTGAAATTTATCCTTGAACTTCCAGTTGTGTGTGTATCCTATGGTTATCTGTATGCATTCTTTTCTATGGCTCTAATAAAATATTTATTATATTGAGGGATAATAGAATATCTCAAAGTGTTATTGCTTGTTCCTGTTACATATTTGCACACGTTGGGGGTTAAATACATCTGAAAATGGTTGTGCCCAAGTTTCTGCCTATAGGGGTTTGTAGCAGGATGGGCAAAAATCCACCTCCATTTCCCTGGCTTCACTTCCCATCTATTCAGTCAGGCTGTTTCCTCTTCCCTATAGTGCAAAAAAAACCCCAAAAACCTAATGTAATTATACTGAAGAAGAGTTAATTTTTTATAATAATTTATTCAGTGTATCACTATTTAGCATTAAATTGCAGGCCCTGTTTGCTGCTGCAGTTGCCTGTTCCTTTCAAGCTGCAGCTTCCCATAAAACCTGAGATTTCCCAATTCTAAAACCTTTTCCTCGGGAACACAGGCACAGCACAACTATTTATTTTAATTCAAAGTGTGAATTCTACCTGCATAATAGGGAGCTGACCCAGATGCTGCAATAAGGGTTAATAATGATCCCATCAAATCACAAGTGTGTGCACAAGACTGAAGTAATTTTTCTTGAGTAAATCAGGTTTTTTTCCTTTCAGATGGTTGTAGGTGGACACTCCTGCCTTTCTCTGCTTCCCCAATGTCCAGATTAGTCTTCCTTTAAACTGATCTGTGCCTCATATCATGTTAATGCAGCTCAGGGTTATTTGCATTAATAGAAGTGGCTTAGTTCTCCAGTGAGTTGATAAAAAACAAGCTGGCATTAGGAAAATGCAGGAGGAAAAGTTGGGTAATCCTACCTCTTGCAGGCATTTCCAGAACAGCTCCTGTGACCATCCCAAATTAGCAACTCAGTCCTAGAATGTAAAAAAAAAAAAAAAGGAATAATAATAATAATGATGAAAAATGTGACTAGAATTCCTTAGACAACAAGAACTGCAGGTGGTGGGAAGGGTGGTTCTGCTATTCCATTGGACTTGTGCTTCCCCAAAATAACCAGCACTTTGTAACAACTAATATTTGAAATCTCATAAGGAAGAATGGTAGGCTTCAGTTACAGTTTCAAAAATTGCATTCTTTTCAATTCCCCATCCAAAACCAGAGCTGTATTCAAGCCTGGATTTCTCAGAGGTACTTGCAGTAAGAATTTTTTTTAAAAAAAAACCCAACTTTTGCTTTGAACAGTTTACTGTGGGATATGTTACAAACATGCAGGATCCTCTATGAATACAAAATGAGTTAAAAACTAATATCACTTCGGGCCAAAGGAATATTGGAGATCTCCATTTTCGACTTAATTTGCCTTTCAGTGGTGGCAGGCAGACGTGGGCAGTGCCTGCCAGGTTCTATCTGTTATGTCTTAATAACAGGCAATAAAGCAAGCTGTCCAGCATGAGGGAGTGCATTCATCTGACAGCTCTGCCTGAAATAAATAACAATGGAATATTGTGAAAATAAAACGAGTTTGTAAACAGGCCCCAGCTCTCTTAGGGGAAACAACCGCCTGGATTGTTTTATGCTAATGCTGTGAACTGCTGAGAAGCAATAAAAGGGATGGGTTTAGAGACAGACCTGATGCACCTTGCAGCTGCTTTATCAGGGCTGATGGAGAAAAAAAGGCACTTGGAACGTGGGAGCTGCCAGGGATGGGGGATGTGGTGACCTCCAGCAGCCTTGTCCCCTGAGAAAAGGGATTTCCTGAGAATCCCACAGGGCTGGGGCTCTGAGGAGGAGGGAGCAGCTTAGGAAAGGGACAGAATGTCTCCTTTTTTCTGCTCAGCAGCCTCTGCAAGCTCTGTTGCAGTTTTTGGAGTCTTACCTTTGGCCTGGAAGTGTTTCCCCAGGTGGCTGGGGGTGTGGACACCTCAGTGGCAGTGACACCGGGACAGTCTGTGCCACAATCACAGCCCACTGTCACTCTCAAATAACCCTGGCATCAATTTGGGACCTGTTTCCCTCTTTTCCTGGCTGTGACTGCCAGTCCTCTGTCCTGTCTCTCAGAGGCACCCCAGAGTTGTCCCCAGAAGTTTGGGGTTTCAATAAACGCCTTTCCTCCTGTTCCTCTTGCAGAGCCTGAGCTGCCACGTTGCAGTGTCTGCACTGCCCTCGTTGGAATTCATACCCTGCCCTTGGATTGCTTTGGGTCTGAACTCTGTGTTTTCTGACTTCACAGTTTGTGCATGAGAGTGTTTTAGTATTAGAATTTCACAGGACCTTCATGTGCATCCTTCCTTTGCTTTTTCCATCCTTAAGGGTCAAGAAAACTTGGTAAACTCGCTTGGAATTAAATTTATTTTCTTGAACTCCTCACTGATCTTTCTGAGGTCAAGAAGTGTCTTTGAAACTCTTTTTTTTTTTTTTTTCTCCCCAAATGCACAAATACAGGAGGCATGCCCGTAACCCCATGCAGCATTACTGAGACACTTTTCTTCCCAATGTACCCGGGATTATTTTCTTACCCTTTAAGAGCATAGTTAGTCCTGTGAGGTCTGGACCATGCCTGCTCTCTGTGCTGTGCTTTTCATTCCTTCCCAGCCATTTATTCCCTTTGGGGGGAAGAACATCAAGGCACTGGCAGAGGCTGAAAAAGGAAGAACCAAAAGCATCCTGTTAGGAACCCGTGAAAGGATGCAACTTCAGGATGCTCATTAATTCAGCCCATGAAAATTTAAACTCAGAACAGCTCTGAGGACAGTGGGACAGCCAGAATTGTCCCTCAGGAAAGGGAAGGTTTTGGGGGAGTCCAGCTCCTTGCTGGATGCTCAGCCCTGACCCTCCCAAATTCTGCACTCGTGGGGATGCAGAGCTGCAGGAGGAGGGACAGGGATTTGTTTCTCCATTAAGAGCCAAGGGTACAGAGCTGGGCTGGCCCAGCAGCACACAGGGAGGGTTTGAGTGCCCCTGGTCAAAGGTGGGACCCAAACCCAGCTGCCAAAACGTGGAAAACGCACAATAGAAGTGATTCCTTTGAACAAAAGGCATGGGCAGCTCCGGAGGCATTCCCTGCTTCCACAGCATCCTCCTGCTCAGGGACGGGGGTCTTGGGAGTCTCCTGATCCTGCAAAGTGAGGCAGGGACCTCCAGGAACACGAGGGGACAAGCCCTGAACCCTGCAGGTGGATTTTGTCACCTCCAGGGAAGGTGCTGTCAATGTTCCCCTGAGACTGGAGCACCCAAAGGCTCTCCCTGAGCCAATTCCCTCTGAAGATGGGATCTGGACGGGCAGGGAAGGTGTCCCTCGGGATTGCTGTCCCTGGGGGGATCT